AAGATCGGCATGCGCGTGAACGCATGTAAGACCAAAAACGTACTGTTTTTCGTTCTCCTGCCGGTTGCTGTCTTCTGATTAACGGAGAGGCAGTGGAGAAGATCAAGTATCTTAGAACTGTATATACTAGTGATGGAAAATTGGAGGAAGAGATCGATCAACGAATTGGAGTAGCCAGTGGCATTCTGCGTGAACTAGCCCGCCCTACCGTGACTAAAGCAGGGATCAGTCTGAAAACGAGCTTTCGGTGTTCAAGTCGATCTTTCGCCCCATGCTTCCTACGGTCATCAGTCGTGGATCATCACTGAAAAACTTCGAACCCGGGTACAAGCTGCTGAAATGGGTTTTCTCAGACGAATCGCTGGCCGTACACGTTTGGACATTGTCCGGAATACTGACATGCGGGAGAGCCTTGGTGTAGAGCCCCTGCTTTTCCAGATTGAGAAATCACAGCTGCGATGGTTTGGGCATGTCTTGCGAAAGCCTCCAGAAAGGAAGGCTAATCAACTGTTTCTTACGAATCCGACCGGCAGAAGGCACAATAAACGGCTAAGGTTAACCTCGAGCAAATATATGGAAAGAGTCTGTTTAAAACTCTAGTTGTGTTCTGCCGAAGCTCAGACTCTGGCACAGGATTGGGAACGTTGGAAGCACTGTCTGACGCGTTTGCCTCCGCCACGACCCGTAAGGGGAAACATCCATGGAAGGTCAAGATGATAGTGAAGGCATATATAAGCAATATCTTACTCTATGTGACTGTACTTCAAGGTTATCTCACGTGCTTTTTTAGGAAAGTTTGAATCAGCATGTGGTTTAGCCTGTTTTACAATTTATTAGGCAATTATCACATAATTTTGTTCCTTGGTGATAAATAACAGGATTTTTTCAGCAATCTTGTTTGAATACCAAACCATTATTTTAGAAGTCTTGATATTAAGTTTCATTATCTATAATAAAGGAATTTTCGTGCAATTTGTACTAGGGAATCGTTTGTGGAAGGTTACAGTATCACATACGTTGCGCTTTTATTCTTAGTTGAGTTAAATGACGGCTGCACGAATATCAACTATAGGTGTAGGAGTTAGTGACTGCGGGATTGTAGTGTTAAAGTAATTTAGTTTTCGCAGCTAGTTTTTATCTTTACTCATCAGATTTGTTGAGTTCTTCCTTGTTAGTGTAGTCAGATTCGTGCTTGTCTCTAGTTTGGTTTAAAAGCAGCGTTCGCTTCAAGGAAGCTGATTGTAACTTTCATTTCCATGTGCAGAACTTTTGGATATACATCAAAATTAATGACTGTTGTTGTTTGGATTTACATTTTGTTTTACATTTCAGCGATCGTCGGTTATGGTTGCTTTCAACGCTGTTGCGGTCTGGACGTCGTAAGAATACCGTAGATCTGTACATGTGAAGAGTGCGTGCTGTGAGCTCTGGAACTGCGTACATTTCTGTCTGTTAAGCCGACGTTTTTTGGCTTCCAAATGTCATATTAAGGTTCATATTTAATGTATATGCGAAGTTGATTTGACTGACGTAGTTTTCGACTTCATTTTGCGTTGTTTGAGGGATGGTTAGATGGTTTTTGGCATATCCCGAATAACATTGCGAATGAAATTCCGAGTCATTTTCGACGGCATGCTGACTTCATCTTTGGTCACTTGCGGTTGCGACGTTGTTTCCGTAGTTGAACGATGAGCATGTTGCGTATTGCAGTCCGATTCCTGCGCTGACTTCCTGCAAAATGACTCGACACAAATCCTTGTAATCCGTAGTTCAGTTTTTAACTGAATTTGCTTTTCTGGTACCACAAAGCGTGGTTCCCTGTCGGCGTAGACTTTCAGTTACTAATGAAACTTCCGAACTTCTAATCATAGCCATTTGGAGAGGGTCTTTCGGTAGGTAATAACCGCGTCCATCCAGATTTTTCCTTCTACATCAGTATACGTAGTACTCAAGAGATGAATAGTTAACGACCTCGAAACGGTCGAGGAACGTGTGGTCTTTTCCGTCCGGGAAAAACTTGCCTTCATATTTGATCGCAGTCTAAGGTTTACTGTCCTAAAACCTTGTTTGTCTTCAAACGTTAAACTCTTTTTAACCTTGTTTGTATATTTTTCCACCTACAATTCACAAGTCGTTTCGAACATGGATCGTCGTAGATTTTTATGACAACTATGAAATGGTTGTAACCCGATTAAAAGCAGAAAGTTGCCCCGAAACAACCTGAACACTGTAAACATTATTTCACTGCCTCTCTAAAACAGGGCCCATGCGAGTCCTCAGGCTTATTCGGTGTTTGGCTTAGGGTGCTTAGTTTCGTATTATGCTTGCTTATTTAGACCCTTCTTTTTTGGATGGTGTTATAAATCGTTACGAGGTCCTTGCAGAATTTTTTGTCTCGTGAACTTATTCATGATTGCATATATTCTTCACTCTTCCCACTCTGTCAGTCGGTTAAATTTATTAAAGACGATATGATTCTCTGTCAGTTATTCCTTTCGCT